TGTGACTTTGGCTGTCGCCCCACTTGATAGAAGCCGTGCGGGTAAGCTGTTTCCAACATAACACGCTGGATATCAGCAAAACACACTGGAAGTGGTTTATCTGCGCAACTTTTATCAAGTGCGATGGCCGCCACGAAATATCCACAGCGTTCCTGTCTTTAGGAGGACATTCAAAACAGGGCATTCATAAACAGCTGGTAAGAGGTGGGTAGGACTAAGCCCAGGATTGGGAATAAACACCAGGGAGAACAATGGTTGCTCACATCCTCTCCCAGAATCCTTTCCCCTCCCTAAGGCTTAGTCCCGAGTTCTATGAGTGGCCCACTCACTTCAATGTCCCCCTCAAGGACATGAGCGCCGACATGTCTAATCAGACTTCGAGCTGTGGACTGTAGGTACTTACACGAACACACATACATACAAAGCGACACACCAAGTTAGCAGTCTATATAGTAGGAGAGTAATGACTAACTTCATCTTCAAACTCGAGCCGTATTTTCTTGATTGCAACCAACTGATTCGTATCTTTGTGCTGAGCTTTGTAAACAACACCATACGTCCCTGGAAAATAGCCAATCGCGATTTCATCGGTGCCCTCTCATTTAGCGAGAGCTGACCTTCACCAATTTTGTCCAGTTTGACATAATCCTCCAAATCAATTTTTGTATTCACCTTTTTTGACATTCCTGGAACCAAACTAATTTTCTGCGACTAGAGTATCGGCATGCAGTCACGCAGTTCGCAAATCAATGTGGCCCATCAACATGGCATGTGTTCAATAGTGGCGATGAGAGCGGTAAAACATCAACGAAACGGTACCTAGGCCGTGAGAGGCGAGGTGTGGCGTTTTCGTGGCGAGTGGCACGCAAGTTGCAACGCACGCAAGCTCCCAAGCATACAGAAGCCCTTGCTTCAAATTGCCGCTACCTCCCCCCCCCCCTCCCACCCCGCAATTGGGTTTGGCAAAATGGCGATATGGCGATATGGCTGTTTGATATCCGATCAATATTCATTTTGCGAGTTCACTTTGATCGAAATACACTCGATATCCGAAAGTTGGGGTAGGCGTGTCACCGGAAGTGACGTGCACTTGATAGAAGCTATGTGGATAAGCTGCTTCCAACATACATCGCTGGATATCAGCAAGCATGCTGGCAACAGCTTATCCACGCAACTTCTATCAAGTGCACGTCACTTCCGGTGACCACACCCACCCCAACTTTCGGATATCGACTGTAGCTGTATTTCAAGCCAGCCGTAACTGTTGTAGGTATGCTCGCTCTAATGCGCTCGTATTGAACCGAATAACATGAAAAGTCAGCAAACACAAATGCATTGATTCAGGGGTTTTTGACCGACAAGTCTCCTTCACTCAGCACAATTTGGCATCTCTGTTTTTCTTAACATTCGCGCAGGACAGCGTTTTTGTCCCACCAGCAAGAGGCGGAAACTCATGCACAAGAAATCGCAACACTGCATACAGTTCAATCGATAGATTACAGTCGTCTCGGTCCAAGTCTACTCACATGAAGCTTCCTTCTTGAACGTTCCACTCGGAGTAAATTCGCGCCTCATCTGCGGTCTCAATATACTTCTTTCATAGCACCCCTCTTGATACAGTGGGATTCGCGCTTATTGAAAGAAATGTTGTTCAGCCCATGTCTATGGTACGATGCGTACATAGCTTAAGCATTGAGCCTGAAATGTGCTCGTCTCGGTACACTTTATACGAACATTTAACTGCCGACCTGAATGCGCGACAAAGACATCTTTCCTGGGGCTGGCCATGTTGGACTAGGAAATATACGGTCACTCACTTTTCGTTAACGGCACGTGACAAGGCCTTGAGGGCTCAAAGTTATCGCGAAAAGAAGGCTGTGTTATCCAGCAAGTCCAGACACCTACCGTCTGCTGCCGTCAAATGAAGAAGAATAAGAAAAGACTCATGCATACGCATTCATAAAACTCGTGTTATCACTATCATTTCCTTTTATTTGTTGATCCTTCTCCAATTAGTAGGCTAGCAAGATCACCAGGACCATTACTTTGGGATCAAAATGCATCAGTACTACATTAATATTGGGGCAGGTGGGCATAAATATTGTGACAAGAAGGAACCCCAAAAATCCCTTTGATTAACAATGAGCATATCTCTCTCTTGGACTATCGGACTCGTCATTGTCTTTCAGAGGCATTGCCCCAGGATCAGATTGGTGTGATCTTGCACACGAATACGATTGTAATGGAGTGAAATGTTCCGGCAGTAAAGAACAAATTAATCCGTCAAAAACGCTTAGATTAATAACTTACTCAAACTTATAATACGGTTGTGTAAGCCAAAGGGCGAGGGATAAGTCGTGGCAGATGAGAGTGTATATTCAGGCAAGAAGAGCGCAAACAAATTGAGAGGGCGCAGACAGCAGTCTATAAGAGGCAAAAGGAAATTTGCAGCGCTGCAGCCTCCACTTTTGCAAGACGCCTGCCGCACTTTGCGGCCCGATTTCCGCGCAGGTAATTTTCACATTCTGTGATGTCCTCTTCTGAGTTCTGGGCCTACATAACGAAGGGATCGCTCGCACAGACTTCTAGCCTGTTAGCCTTTACATAATATCTATGCTTCACAGTTTTCACTCTAGCCTTTCATGTGAATGGGTATGTAAGCTCAGAGGAAGGATCAGATCACGTTGATGTCGATTATCCCGTCCGAATATAGAAAGTAGGGATGCGAAGGACAAGGGATAAAGCGGAAAGAAAGGCGTCAAAGAACACAGGAAGTGAAGAACGTTATGCCTCGAACACGGCAACAAGCCAAATGCGTTCACAGCCTCAAGAAACAAAGTATTCTGTGAACTGTTATGGGAAGCGTTGTTTTGAACTTCTGACCTACTTATTTATTTAACCCATTGCGGACCGCGTGCTGCACCATGTGCAGCACGCCACCACGCGGAGAAGGATAGTAATCTTCGATTTTTTCAGCATTTTGCTAAGTTACAAAATCAGCAGTTTGCTTTTTCACACACAGGATATATCAAGTACTTGCGTACTGGTTAAATTTTCGATAGATTATTGGCCACTGGATAAAAGAGATGACAAAAACCTACGGAGGTGCAATTATAACGGCGGTCCGCAATGGGTTAACTATTAAACCTTATTCATTCATGTTTTGAATTTGATAATTTGTTGGGCAATGCAAAACACTCAAGGAATTGCACTCAACTAGAATTTCTATCATGTTACCAAACTGGTTGCTATGTTTTGTGGCCTTGGCTTCACTGCAATCGGTGACCTAATGCATCACAAGTTTCGGTGTCGTAGTTCGCCACGGACTCTTCTTCGCTGACACAGTGATCGCCTAATCAGCGTGCGAATTGGCAGATGTGCTCCGATACGACTTATCATTACCCGTTGGCTTCAGAGCACCTGGTGATTTCTCAGAGAGATAATTGCGAACTCGACAGCATGCTCTCCTTCTTTGCTGGGTGCCAGTGATCTTTACCTCTTCTTTGTGTCGTTCATTTTCCTCCTCAGAATAAAATCAGGTACCACCACTGCTCGCACTCTCTTCGTCGAATATTCACCATACATAAATTATATGAAGAGATATCCAGTAATTCTTTATTCTTATTCTTTTGTTCTCTTCTTCTTCTCTACTTTCCTTGAACCTTATAAACGAGTGTAGTGCAATTATTGCGAGCAAGGCACACAAAATGAGGATTTTTCGAAAGAACACTACTTTTCCAATTCTTTATTTTTATTTTTCAGAGCAACCAATACTGCCAGGGCTTAAAACATCTCTTACGCACTGCGAGCATTACTATAACTCACCATTGTGTAAGTAGTAGTAAGCAATACCACAGACTGGTCTTATTTAGATAAGATAGATATAAGATTCTAAGGTGCTCAAAAAGTGACCTCCAGTGCTTCATTTCTACTTTTCCAAGTTTTGTAGTGCACGAAGTTATCAGGTTGAGCTCTTGATGGGGATTCAGGCTCTCTGCCACATATTCTGCCTCATCTATAAAGGATTCTTGAGGGAATGGCGTTCAAACCTTGCCAATAGACATTCTTCAGTCCACTGCTCACGAGCCGAGCAACTTACCCTCTTAGAAATGTTCCTGCAAATTAAATACATTAGTCTTGTAATACTTTTATAATATTGAGTTGAGCAAAAATAAATAATGATGTTGACCTTGGTACAAATGCATATTTGTATAAACCACCTATTTGGGAAGTTGAAGTCATGGCGTATCTAAAAAACTGTTAAAAGGATTTGGCCATCAGTCCCTCTCAGAGATTTGACTTCAATAAGTACTTTTGTTTTTTTATACCTGTGCTAATTCATACTCAGACCTTTCCCCAGAAAAACAGGTTGATCTGATGGAAAATGGTTTTCAGCGTTCTCAGATGGCCTGAGAACTTGGAGGATTCTTCGACAAATTGGAGGTCGAAAAAGTCGAACCTCATCTATTGGAAAGACAGGCAGATCCCCCGAGGAATCGCAACGATGCTGGAAGGGTGCGCCTGTGGGTGCCCAATAGAGCCTTAGGCTGATTTCATAGTTTGCGGTCCGTGCGTGCGGACCGCGCGGAGAGAGTGAAAAGCGTCAACACGCGCTCTGGCGCACGATGCGTACTTGGCGCGCAGTCGGCGCCTTCCGATCGATAATCCTAATTTCAATACATTTTTTCTATTTTTTTTTGACGTTTTGTGTGCCGTTTTGCTTTCACTTGCGCTTGTTTAGCTCAAAACTTTTCCTTTTTGTATGGATTACTGCTTTTGCTTACTAATGAACTCACTTGGGCTTACTGCCACTTTCAAACATACTGGAACTGACCACTCAAGGACAGTTGAAATGCAATGATTCACACGAAAAAGAAAAAGATTTTCGC